TCTTTCCCACCAGAAACGACTTGCAGTTTCTCAAGTCACTTCTGACACACAAAAAACACAGACAATGAAAGAAAAGCTCCTTCTACATTGTCATATAAAATCCAACTTATCTGCTTTGAACTGGATCATATGCCAGTGTAGATTAATGTAATCCAATTCAAAGTAAATAATGTGGATTATCTGCTTTGATATTCTGGTTGTATGGTAGATAGAAGGGGCCTAAATCAGCATATCTTGTCAACATCAGTCATCTCTCTCCACCCAGTTACCATCTCTTGGTGAGTTGCATGACAAAAAGATGAACTAGTTAACAGAGAAATCCTAAGTAATCCCACTCAACTGATTTCAATGAGACTCCAATTCAAAGGATGGCATCTTTTGTTTTTTCCAACTAGACTCAGCCTATCCAAGCAATTATTTTAGCAGCAAAATCAAAATGTTTAGTAGAGTTCTATATGTTCAATTTAACTTTTAAAACGCATATATTTTAAGTAAACTATACTATGAAACAAACTGCAGGAACTGTAGCTGCTAAAAAATGGACAACACATTGCTCTGTAGGGAGGATTCAGCTTATCTGCATTTCCTTGCCTCTAAAATAAACTTTTACACTCTCTTATCTCTCCACAGCATTTTAGACCTTACTGTCTTCCCTCTGGGTAACTTATCACTAGGATGTGTGTCTGCTGTTCATCACAAAAAGGCAACAATTGGTGCTTGAATGTTCCTTGTCTACATTTTAACTTCAAAACATATATAGTCAAGTGATAACTTTGGCCATAATCTGTATTTGCTGTTGTACAAAAAATGACTACCCATCAATGTCCATAAGGTTTAGAGTAAACTTTCAGAGTGCTTAAAATTTAAATGATAAGATGTAGCCAGTGGCCTACACTGTACTTTTTTTGAGGCCAAGAAAGACTGGCACATTCTGTTTCTCCTCCTTAATTGGATCTGCAGCCGGTTCATTTGACCGACTATCTTTTTGAGTATCTAGGACTTTCCATTTAAAATCCCATATCCCATCAGGTGATAGGGTAAGGCAAAATAAGAAAAGAAAGAGAGAAAGGCAACAATAAACAAAGGCAGCACCAAGAAAAGCCCAGAAATAAAAGTTCCACCCATTCCAAACACACCTAACTCTGCTCCAAGGAATGCAAGGCACATGCCTACAGATGAATCCCAGCCTCTCTTGCAGAAGTGAAGCCTGAATACAACCGTCTGAATGAAACCTTATCTTGCCATTTGTTGTTTTTGTTGGACTGCAGCCAGTGCAAACATTTGCAGGTGGCTGGACCATATTTTGACACTTAACTATCTACAGTTGTGATAAAAATCAGAATGTTGCTACAGTACAATTCTTTATAGCCTTCAGGGCCCGATTCTGCTCTCACTTAAGACGCGGTAAGACCATTACACCATTGTTTTTTCAAACATTTGCAGTTCATTACCAGAAATATTTTGCAGGATTATTTTTTAAAATCCTCCTTATTTTTTTATACCAGTTAAGATCCCATTGCCAACAACTGTACTGTATACTGTATACTGTACATTATAATATATTTAAGTATAAATTATCAGTTGTTTGCATATCTGTTATCGAGCCATAGTAATCCCCTCCCTCCAAAAGATTTATACTTCACTAAGAGACTACAAGTAAATATATGGGGTTTTTTTCTTTTTATTAAAAAAAACCTTTTCTTGAGGTCCAAATCTGTGAAATTTTGAAGCCTGAGAAGAGCGGGAAAAGAACTAGCCGCAGCTGTACCTCTCAAACTCTATCATGCCTTACCCTTTAATTTGATGGTTTCTGTGTAACTTGTATCTTTCATAATGTGTACTGTATAAATTTCTTATATGAAGTGTATAAATTGCTTCTTATATGTAACAAAATGTATTTTGAAGGCAGCCACTTCCTCATGCTCCCTGTTTGCATAATCTCTTAGGAAAGGAGAAGTTGGCCAAATCCCTCCAGATATTTCCCAAACCAGATGACAATCAGAAGCATTGTGTGTATATAGAGATAGATTATCCTCTCTACCAGAAAGATAACCTCAGGATGTTTGTCCACTTGACCTGAGGCTGAGAGTCTGCCTCTCTCTCTGAAGAGGGGGCTTAATATCTCAAGTGCAATTGGCAGAGATGAAGGACAGGGCCTTCTCAGTGGTGGGCCCCCTGGCTATGGAACTCCCTCCCCAGGGATATTAGATCAGCCCCCTCCCTCCTGACTTTCAAAAAAAAAGGTTTGCTCTTTGAGCAAGCTTTTGAGAATGCAGTAGAATAGATAACACATCACTATGAATGATGAACATGGAATGGCCAAACAATGTTACTGGATAACGTTTTTAACAAGATGACACTGATGATTATATGCTTTAACAGTTTTTATTTATGTTTTATATTGTAATGTTTATTGTTTTTAATGCCTGACATCGAATTGTGCCAATCTGTAACCCGCCTTGAGTTGCTGTATGGCTGAGAAAGGCGAGCTATAAATATAATAAATAAATGAATACATATATGTGCATTTATTAACTTTCTACAATGACAGCCAAGTCCTTAATTGTCTAAGGGCCCTTCCACACAGTCATATAACCCAGAATATCAAGGCGGATAATCCACAATATCCACTTTGAACTGTATTATCCAAGTCCACACTGCCATATAATCCAGTTCAATGAAGATTTTATACAGCTGTATAGAAGGGGCCTAAGATCAGCACCTTTGTCTTTTGAGCTCTACACATTCGTTTTGCATGGAACTGGGTGTTTGAGTTAATCAAAAACTCATCAGCATATCTGTACTATTTTTTCTTTATGGACTGTACCCTCCCAGAGGGCATCTCTACAGCAGATTGGCTCTCTGCGTAGACCAATTCCCAACTGCCATTCTTCTCACCATGGGAATCCCTGCCTGTAGGCTGTGATGTCAAAAGAACCCCCAGCCAATCCCGTCACAGACCCTGGTTGGCCTCTTTCTCAGCCAATTAGGAGAGGGAAGTCTGAAGAGCTGCCAGAACTGGATAAGATGTCTTGCATTTTCCTGTATGTTTATGCTTGTACCTTTTAAAGCAAATTGCTTGTACTTGCATCCTTTTTGGCCGAATCATATTAAACCTCTGTGGCTTGTCTTCAACCTGGTGAGCAATAGCTTATCTGTACTGGCTGGATTTTGTGAAACAAATGGATATCAGCTGTGCATTTAAAATAAAAGCTGATATCTCTGGGTGCATCTTGAGAGTCTAGCTTGTACAGTTATCCTTGTCTATGTAATATTATCTATCCTTGTCTATGTAACATTGCTCTATTTGGCACTATATTTTTTAAATGGCTGATTTGATTTTACCGTACTATATACTGCTAATCTAAATGCCAGTTGGCACTGTTTTAAAATGTATTGAACGTGCTTTTTCAATAGTCTATTGATTGCAATGAACAAATGCTGCCAGGGGAAATCCTTCAAGCATATGCTAATTTTGACATATATTTTATGCAAAAATGTTTAGGACATCAATAACCTTCAGTTTTAAGGGGACTGATCTATAGATACTTCAAAACTTTACTGCTATCCCATGGCAGATTTGTCACCAAGGATAGCTGCAACTTAGTGATATCATCACCTCCACCATTGCATATTTCTGAGCATTGCACTACTGTGACACTTTGCAGATTTGTAACTGTACTTCTGGGTAGAAGTGGAACTTCATCTACCCACAGTTCCAATGCTTCAGAGATTTTTAATTTTTGTAATAGTCAGAACAAATTTTTAAATTGCTATAATGTTTAGTATAAAATAAAATTACATTAAATCAATTATAATAAAGTTAGTGGAGAAGAAGGACAATCCTCCCTTCATGATGTCACTTCTGTGCCAGCATGATGGAATAGAAGCGGATTGAGACATTATAACATACGTAATTTATGGCATCATGGATTACTGATGGGTTTCACCCATCAGTAACAGGAGATAGTTTTGTTGACAAAGGTGGCGGGCTGGTAACAGGTTGCACACAGCATCATAGGAATCATAATTGTAGATCACAATTGTTACACACAAGGCCTGCAGGCCGAATCTAGCCCACCGCATCGTGTTATGTGGCCTACAACGCTTTCAATGCCAGAGCAACATAGTTACATTTATACAGTATTACAATTACAGGAGCCTTGGTGGTACAATGGGTTAAACCATTGTGCTGGCTGAACTGCCGACTTGAAGGTCAGCAGCTTGAATCCATGAGACAGGGTGAGCTCCCATCTGTCAGCTTCAGCTGTCCATGTAGGGATATGAGAGAAGCCTCCCATAGGATGTTAAAGCACCTGGGTAAGGTCCTTGCAGATGGCCAATTCTCTCACATCAGTTTCTCAAGTCACTTCTGACACACACAAAAACATTATAATCATTTGAATGCAATCGTAAGGCTGATGTAGCCATCGGTGAAAATGAGTTTGACACCCCTACCATATATGATGTCTTGATTCTGTGCCACTTCATTGCAACAAAGTCCTAAAGCATACATTAGGAGCTAAATAGTTTATTATGTCCAGTACCTTTGGCCGATGCTCATTGTGAAAGAAGGAATCAGAATTCATTTGTCTGAAAAATCCTCAATCTAAACCAAAGCAGTTGGCTTGACTTCGGAATCAGACTGAGAACCTTTCAATGGATGGTACATTTCCCTCTATTTTTACAAGATCTCAAGTTCTGTGGAGAGGAAAATCTATTACTATGGCTCTGAACTATAACTGGCATTGCTCTAGAAACTCCAAATTGCACAGAAGAAATGTAGGATTTTTTAAGACAACCGTGCACATACATATGAACAAATGCACATTGTTTTCAAACAAAATCTTCATCCTCCATCACCGCATAAACAACACTATGCAAACAAGGAATTTCTTCCAGTTCTTGATCATGTCATTGGTTTTCTTCATCATGTTGGGAGGAAATGTAGGACAACACCACACCCAAGCCAAAATTAAAAGTGCCAAGGACACTCTTACCCAATCTGCCGATTTGTGGAAGGTGCTTGCGTGATGACTGAACTCGACTGGGGGGACGGCATGGCTTGCTGAATCACAATGCTGGTGTCATGGTTTGGCATCCTTGGATTTGAGAGCTGATGTGCCCCAGGGGCTGCCATAGCTCCTCCAACAGAGTTATGCATTGAAATATTCTGGGGAGACAGAAGATGGAGAAAATAAAATTGGATGCTCTAGTTTGTTTAAATCAAGGCTTCTTAAACTCTTCCCCCTTGTGACTCCTTTCAACTGAGAAATTTTTACATGACTCCATGTATATAGCTATAAAATCAAACATTAACTGATAATAAATCATCATTTGCAAAGCTTGCTAAACAGGCTGATTTCCCCTTTTTATGAAGTACAGGGGAAGCATCCACTGTAAACACTGCATGTTGTTGCTAACCGATTATGTAAATGGGTGCCATTCAGAAATGTTTTATTGTTGCCAAATTTTTGTGACCCTGACATTGAGCTAAGGAGACCTCAACTGGGATCAGGGCTGACAATTTAAGAAACAGCAGTTCAGATTATCCCTATGCTCAAAATTCAAAAGCAAAAAGTAGCAAGAACATTAAACATTATTGGCTTCTGGCAAACTGCACATCAATATATTTTGTTCTAAGCAGTAAAGAAATGAAAAATAACTCTTAGCTTTTACAGTGAAACACACATTGAAAAAAACCTGCAAGTTGACTAATTATTCTTCTGTGTATCTGACTCATGATTTATAATACTAAGAGTTTGTACAGATCCATTTGCCAGTGTGCGATATATATTTCATTTCAAAATGAATTTCCCAGTCAATCCGTGGCACTTTGATTTATCATTCTGGCTCATGCTACTGTACTAGATTTGCTAAGAATGATGAGTTAGTTTTGACAGAGTCAAATTAACAACCAGGTTGTTAAAAACACTTTTTTATTTTAGGTTCAGTGGATGTCTTAGTCCAATAGTTTGATTCAACTTGTTAGTTTTCTTTTTGTCATTGCTTTAATACAGTCATGCAGAATATATGAGCCTCCGAGGGCCCTTCCATACAGTCATATAACCCAGGATATCAAGGCAGAACATCCCACAATATCTCCTTTGAACTGGGTTATCCATGTCCACACTGCCATATATTCCAGTTCAAAGCAGAAAATGTGGAATTTTCTGCCTTGAAATTCTGGGTTATATGGCTGTGAGGAAGGGCCCCTAGTGTTGCTGTACTGCAGTTCTCTGTACTTGCAAGGCTGATGGAAATTGGAGTTCAATGGGAATTGGAGCTCCTACTAAGGAATGCTGTTCAACCCTGGTCCTAGTATGAAAAGGTTATGCTTTACAATACTGTACCATTCATATCCATGAGTAGAAAGGCAAGACTTCAAAATTTGAAGTTTTCTTTCAAAAGAACAATAATCTAACATAAATTATCACCAGACATAATTTAGTTTTTCAAAGTGGATTCAAAAGCTAAGACCTAAAACTGAAATGAGAACTTCATATCTGGTGATGACTAAGTTACTTTTAAACATTTCCCATATTTGCACAGAAATTAGCATAATATCATGGCTATAACTCTGGACTTCAGGTTTCAAATTTACACTCAGTCATGAGTGACCTTAGGCAAGTCACACACTCTCAGCTTCAAATAAGGCAAAGGAAAAACTTCTTGGAACTAATCTATTGAGGGCCACGGTAGCACAGCAGTTAAAGCCGCTAGCTGCAGGAAAGGCTACTGACCAGAGGGTCAGCAGTTCGATGCCGCAAGTCGGGGTGAACTCCCGATTGTCAGTCCTAGCTTCTGTCAACCTAGCAGTTCAAAAGCATGCAATGCTAGTAGATCATAAGGTATTGCCTCAGCGGGAAAGTAAAAGGGTGCCCCACATGCCAGGGAAAAAAGATCAGAAATGTCTGCGGACAGCAAGGCTCCTTCAGCATGGAAAATGGAACAAGAGCACCTCCCCATGATTGGAATTTGAGCATCACCTCCAGATGCCGGAGATGGAAAAAAGGGGAAGGGCTTTACCTTATCTGTGTACTGTATGTCATCATTTCTGTAAAAAAGCATTGAATGCTTGCCTTATATGTGTACTGTAATCAGCTCTGAGTCCCTCTGGGGAGATAAAGCTGAATATAAATAAAGTGTATACCTGAGAAAACCCTTAGAGTCACAATAAGATGGGAATGGCTTAAAGACACACAGCAACAACGATCACAACATACCGTATTTTCATGTGAGTAGCTTGAACAGGAAATTTGTGATTCAAATGAACATTCTAGCTAATTCATGTTTCACATAGTCATTATAAATAGAGTGAATACACTGTCTTTCAGGGAAAATAGAAGGTTAGTAAAATATATGACCTGATGTCAGACAGATGGCTATAAACACATACATCCATTATTTCTATGTGAACACTGTCGAATTTCTATCTTGCTAATCCATTCATCAGAAAGCATGAAGCTTCACTCACACACCCCTCCAGCAACAGCACTTCACTCAGCTGAGCAAATAGCTTGAAGGGAGACTGGTGCATGGGTGAGCAAATGAGCGACTGAAGAGGGTGCTTTGGGGTGAGGAATCAAGGGTGCAACTATTACTCAAAACAAACAAGAATGCCAATTTGGGGGGCCAAAAAAAGGGGGTGGTGGATATTACAAGGTGGCAACTATTGCATGGTGAAATATGGTATATTTTGCAGTACCGTCCACAGAGAACCTACACAGCACAGAAAGCCAAAGACCTTGTAAAATTCCAAACCCTAGGATTCCATAGCATTGAGCCATGACAGTTCAAGTGGTGGTAAACTGCATTAATGCTACATTTCAGGGTTCTTTTCTTGGTGTAACATGACTTCCTTAGTTCACCATTGACATGCAGCTAGCATAAACATCATTAATTCTTCAGCCTTGCTAAAAAAAATGCAATGGCTTTCTGTGCTTTGGGTCTTTTATCTTAATTTTTCTGACATGATCCAATTAGAAGTGCCCTCTAATTATCAATAGAAGAGAATCATGAAAGATGCCTCCTGTTTTCCAGACACATCTATGTCACCCCTTTTTTCAGTCTCTGCCAGACTATCTTGTTGATATATGCTTTTACGTATACAATAGCATACAGTGGATACCGGACTTACCAGCAACTGTATTACAATCAAGTTTAGATTAAGGGAATTTTGTGTCAAAGGAGTAGAAACATTTGAAATATGTATGACATCTAGCACCCTGAACATTTTAATGCTAAAATGTATTTTTGATATGGAAAATATAGATAGGATACAAGAAATACGGATATAAGTATAGTCCAGACTTCAAACAAGAGAACCCATAAACTGCATGAACTAAAGGTTATTTATTTCCCAGTCAATTGCCTGAGATCATCATTCAAACATTAATCCACACAAAGCAGTTCTTATGTTCCAATGAAATTTCAGTAACACTAAGTATGTACAACACAATTAAGGTCATTTAGTACATGTTGCTCTGGGATAGCTGCATGGTATTCTGATAATTGAAGGCTAACAGAGCAGGGGTATTCAACTGAAGAATTGTTTTGTTTTTTTTGTATATATTTTTATTAATATTCAAGTCATAAATATAGAAGCATTTTTCCTCCTGTAAATGCCCACTTTGGAGGTTACAAAACACAACTTTGGCAGAATGTCAGTGGTGCAAACTGATTTCCTTCCCTAAATGCAATTTTTAAAAGCAAACAAACAAGGTTACGCCTGCTAATGAAACATTACATGCGGCTCTGGACTGCTTTTCTTCTTCTTTTTTCTTCCTTTCAGTCAAATCAATTCAAACACCAACAGAAAACAATAAACAGATTTTGTAAAAGAAGCGGTTTGCTTCAGATCCAGTTGATTAAATAATACTTCAATCCAAATAAAAATGGTTCAACATCATAGCAAGTTGCTCCTGTTTATTTTTTTACAATGGATTTCCTCAAGAATAATTTTATTCATTCACATGTTTGTTGTGCCCAAACGCATATTCAACCATTTTTACAGTTTAGTGAATTGTATAAAAATGTGAAGTTTATTTGGGCATATTAATATTTAAAGATGTTTATAATACAGTATATCAATAGCAACACAGGAACCGTGCTTTTGTTTTTAGTTTATATATATATATATATATATATATAGAGAGAGAGAGAGAGAGAGAGAGAGAGATTTACAAAATACACAACAGTGCTGGGAAACTTGTGACTATTGTATAATATTGTACTCAGCAGAGAGCTCTCATCCCTGTTTATAGAAATGCATGATTACTCCTTCTGATGGAAGGAAATCGTTTAAAACAGCATCCTTGTCTCAAGCTTCCAATGGGTTTTGATGCAGAACAATTGGATCCCATGAAAAGCAATGGTTTTAAACAGCATCCCTGTCTCAAGAGTCCAATGGGTTTAGATACAGAACAGATGGATTCCATGGAAAGTAATGGCTTAAAACAGCACCCCTGTCTCAAGGGTTCAATGGATTAAGACGAAGAACTATTGCATCCCATGGAAAGAGATCCTAGCAGATTTGCATGAAGAAAAAAAGGCTGGGGGTGGAGACGTATTGCCCATATGTATTGAGGAAGATAGTGGGAGCATATGGGGAAACACTAAAAATCTGATGAGAGGAAAACAAATGAAAATGAGCGAGAGAGGACTGAATGGTACAATCAGCTCCCGATTCCTCTCTTTACTTTACTTAATGATGCCTCTCAATAATGCCATCTGATAAAGTCCCTGGGGAGCCACATTTTCCCGACTTTCTGTCTTTTCAAGGGGAGGAACTATAATCCAAAAAGAAGGCCCCATTATCAATCTAATATCTATCGTATTAGTACAATGTGACGCAAGAATGAAAAGAAAAACTAGGGGGGAGAACACTCAAGTACATGTTTACATTTATAGTCTGCACACTTTTCATTCTTTTAGCCTGTCTTTAGAAGCCAGGGTTACACAATCTTATATTGAAAAACTTTGTTATTTAATATATTTTCTGTTAATCTAACCTAGGTGGTTGAATAATGTGAGTCAAACACATATAAAAGTTTAAATATTGAGACATGGTTGCAGTACTACATAGGCATGGCCTACCTTTCCAATAAGTAGGTAGCTCATTCCCAAACTGCTCTTTGAGTTACATTCCCAGGGTACATGTTAAATCTAAGG